GGGAGGTGCTGCCAGTCGCTCAAGGCYGGGATGGTGCCCAGGGCACTGTGCCACACCGAGGGGACCCTCTCTTGCACGAGGGCCCCGTGGCAGCCCCCAGCCCCGGGGTCCAGCCCTGGGTGATGCTGCATCCAGCGTTATATTCCAGGTGCCCATCCCTACCCCCCTGAGACCCATCCAAAGGTGACACCACCTCCTGGAGGGGTGGCCCGGGAGAGGAGGGCGGACCAGACCGTGGAGCAGACAGGGGTAGGCAGGTAATGGTTTTTGGGAGGAGGGAATTGCCCCGGAGGGCTGAGAGGTGGCCGGATGCCGATCCCGGGGAGCGGAGGAAGCCGGTGCCGTGCAGCGTAGCGGGGAGCAGCAGCGCAGCAGAGCGGGGTGTCACCGTCCCCCCACCCCAGCAGCGCCGCCTGAGGGGTGCAGCACCCGGGGCCCAGCACATCCCTGTCCCCAGCTGGCCCCCCAGCACCCCCTGGAAATCTGGGGGCCTCCCAAGAGCACCCCCGCCGCTGAACTAGGACCCAGTTATCCCCCCAAAAAGAAGGGAAAACTTCCCAAAATGTGCCGCCAGGCAGGCTGGCCGAGGCTGGGAGGGTTCAGAGCCCACAGGGGTCACCCCACCACCGGGCTGGGACCGGGGGGCTGCACTCCCAGCGCGGGCGAGGGGAGCGTTAGCGGCGGTTTGGGGGCGCGGGGAGGGTCTGCGGGGTGAGGGAGGGCACGGGACGCCCGTGCCGGGGCCGGGCGGCTCTACCTGAGAAGAAATGGGCTTTGAAGCCCTTTTTGGAGACGGTGTTGTCGGACTTGAACTCGATCCTCATGTTGTTGTACTGCGAGGTGATCACGTCGGGCTTCTCGGCGCCGCAGAACTTGCCGTGCAGTTTGGAGTCGGCCGTCAGCCCGCTGCGCACCTCCACGAAGTCGTACTTGCACACCTGGGGGGGCACAAAGCCGTGTCTGCACCCCCTGGGAGGGCGGCACAGGCGTGGAACACGGGGCTGGGGACACGGCAGTGCCACCCCGGGGGTGGTTCCCCAGCAGCGCCCGCCGCCGACTCACGTCGTTGCCCTCGGTCTCGAAGAAGTCGAACTGGAGGGAGATGCGGTACTGGGTGGGGGCCACCAGCTGCCAGATGCAGTTCTTGTTGGGGGGGTATTCCTTGGGCCACCCCGGGCTGGTGATGGAGCCGTTGAGCTTGGTGAGGAAACCTCCGCAGGCGGCTGCAGGGCGGGAGGCACCCGGCGCCCGTCACCTCCCCGGGCTCCGCGGGGTTAGGGACGCTGCGAGGGGCGTCGGGGGGCGTTGGGGTGTTTTAGGGGGTCACTCACCCTCGCAGCGGCGCTTGTCGGTTGCCAGCTCATAGCCAGGGTCACAGGCACACTTGTAGCTGCCCAG